AAAAGTGTTCTCGGCGAGCAATAAGATGTACATTGAATAGTGTCATTTCTTTACAGCTGATATCGTTCGTGTTTGGTTTGTTGACCGTCCGCCACACCTCCGATTAAGCACGATTGGCTACGTACGGTTCGAGAGAAGTTCAACATACATACATATATATACATCTATACAGTAATCATCTCAACTTGTAACCGCCGCCGCCTGAGAGTATTCGCTCCGCACTGGCGTCGAGGGAGAGGACGATTCAGAGGCGAGATTGACCAGTCAACTATTTAAACAAAAATGTTTTTTTTTCTGACGAGGTAAGGGCCCACTGATCTCTGTAGCTCTTCTTTCACAAGCGACCTGGCCACAAATGATGGCTCAACGAGGCGGCTATGGGGGCCGTCCATAAATTACGTCACGCACCTGGGGGGGGGGTCACACATTTGTGACGATGTATGACGATGTGTGACGAGGGTGGGGGGGGGGATGAGAAATGTGACGTCACGCAAAAATGCGCAACTTTGAATAAATATAGACAACACGTTCTTCTTAATTAAATAGACTTTTAAATAAATCTTTTCTCCTACAACATCAGAGTGCAGCGCTACATTAAATACGCACTACAATGATAATAGTTTAAAGCGATTTGAAGCATGTTTTATATTTTTTTTGGGGGGGGGGGGGGAGGGGGCAGAGCTTTGTGACGTCATATTTGAAGGGGAGTCTGACTTTTTGTGACGCCGTGTAACGATGGGGGGGGGGGGCAAAAAATCGCGTGACGTCATTTATGGACGGCCCCTTATCACGTGGTAATGTACAGCAGCAGCCAAATATTCTAAACGCGTGCTTATAAATGTGGAGGGGATAGAAACCCGAATTACCTGGATAAAAATCCACGCGACCACGGGGAGAGAGAGAGACATGAAAACTCCAGATATACAGGCGTCAGGGTCAGGATCGAACCCACGACCTCCTGTATACCAAGAGAGGGAGTTGACATTTCACGACCACGGCACCCCTATGAGTAACCAAAGACCAGCGGGACGGACAGCAACGACGCGATGTGCCGGCGTCAACAATTGCCCAAGCTTTGCGGTCCTCTATCTATATTAAGGTGTTATCAGCCAGTTCACAAGTGATGACATCTGGGAGGAAACCGGAGCACCCGGCGAAAACTCCCTACCCCATACAGATGGCACAGGGTGGAGTCTACGCGCACGGGGAAGAAAGTTTCGCAACGTGTGTGTGGGTGTGAGCCACCAACCCTCGCTGCTGCCTGCACCAGCGCCCGATTACAGGCAGTCATGCGCAGCGTAGCCACCACTGCCCGGCTAGATGCGGCGGGATAACAAGTTCGATTCCCAACCACGTATAATTTCAGTCCACGAGTGATATCAGATCCAGTCCTGGGCACTGACCCCCCCCCCCCCCCCCCCTGGGCACTCCCCCCCACCCCCCCCCCACCCCCCCCTCCTCGGGGTGGCCACAGTCTCCGTACACTGACCGGAACGTTGTGTTTTTGTGTATTCCCCATTGAGAGTACCGCATGCGCTGCTGCCGTGGTTTAGGGGGGTTGTGGGTGGGCCAGAAGCTTCGCAGAAGTTCGAGGCCACGGATCTTCTGGTTTTGGTGTTAGGGGACTTTCGCAGAGACTCGTGGTGGCAGAGAGGTGGAGGAGGTAAAAACGAGGCTCTCAAACCCCCTCGACTGGCAGCAGCAGACTAATGCCCCACACCACTCCCGTAGATGTAGACTCATCCTGGTTTCTAAAAGCTGGTTAAGCAACAGGCAGTCGTGGAGATGGAGCGATGATTTGGCGGGTTCGTGAGTCGGTGTCCAGGAGCGCGACAGACGGCGCTCTAGGCTGGCGTGAACACGCCTCACGACTGGACATTTGTGAAAACGAGCTTTATAGCATTTCAGATTCCTCCAGTATACATAAATATTCTGATTCACGAGTGTTGATTTGCCGAACAAAAAAAATAATTCACGACCTTCATTCACTCTTACAGATCTATTAAAGTTAAGGTCATGCCCATTCACGTTCACAGAGTTGTTATTTTAACAATCGTATTTACAATTAGGTAGCGCCTTCACCAAGGCGCTGTACAGTGAACTAACTATGGTACAAGATGGTTAGGAGAGAGAATGAGCGAAAACTGAGAGTGTGCGCACCACCACCTACACCACCTACACCACCACCTACACCACCACCATCACCACCACATCATCACGAAGGGAGACGCGTCTGTGTTCCACAGACCGCAGCAGCAGCAGCACGATGCTGCTGCTGCTGCCGCTGCTGCGCGATCACAAGTGGAGTAGAATCTGCGGTGTCATTTGCATTTTTCAAAATCTCGTGGGGGGGTGGGGGGGGATTTATTTTTCTTCTTCTTGGGCGAGGTGGCTCTGCGGGGATTGCGACCACGCTCAGCGTCCGTCGTGCGTCCGTGCCGCCTTCGGTGAGGTGCTCGCTAACAGGCAACGCAGTTGTCGCGCCAGAGGCGACGCACGGATCCGGGGTTGTGCGGTGGCCAACGCGGTGTCCTCTCTGTTCTTGAATAAACGAAACGTCAGTTGAACACGTAGCAGTATAGCGCTTTCGCGACCAATATTATTCATAATAGAAGGGTGGGGGGAGCGTTGTTTTGGGTTAGATCGAGTAAATATAAATGCGTCGTTAAATCCGCCAACACCCGACACGGCCAATTAGTAAGGTTTGTCACGTAAACAAAACATTGTCAATTCGTTACCAGTATAGCACACCGGATGTGTTGGAGAGTAAATCCACAACATTTACAATCTGTCGCCAGCTGTCTGTCGCCTGATGAAGCTAGCTGTAATTGCTGGCGAAACGTCGTTCTCAGATTGTAAATGTTGTGGCTTTGCTCTCCAACACACCGGTGTGCTGAACTAGTAACGAATTGGCCACGTTCTGTTTACGTGACAAATCTCACTAATTGGCAGTGTCGGGTGGTGGCGGGTTTAACGACACATTTATGTTTACGCGATCTAACCCCCCCCCCCCCAAGAAAAAACCTGTATTATGAATAATGTACTTGTTATCCAGGAGAGACGCATTGATTCGTAGAAGCCTTTTTTCACGAGGCTCCTGCCACTGCTATATTGGGTTGCTATTTTACGAGTAAACCCACAGCATTTACAATTCGAGTACGACGTTTCGCCAGTAATTACAACGAGCATCATCAGACGACAGCCAAGGATTGTGGGGGGAAATCCTCCTGTTTCGGTCTCAGACGAAGCGCGTGTGGACGCACACGGGGCCCATCACGGCAGGAGGGAGGCATCATGAAGCGAGCGCATTTTAATAAACACGTGAGCACAGAGAGGCGTGGGAATGCGATCCGTTCCAACATCGAAGTGTATCTGTACACAAACGAAAATATCGTCGCAATATGCAACACGAACTGCATATACACACACACGCAAAAAAACAAAGACAAAGATCCCCCACCGTATAGCCTTCAACAAACTGTTGGGGCAAGTGCTAATAGTGGGTGCCTATGTAGGCCGCCACGGAACACGAGGACGGTGAGTGGCCAACCAACACCAAGCCCGGCCGCCTTTGTCTCCCTAGCGCTGAGGTTCACGAAGCACCGCGCCAGGTACTCGCTCATTTGAGGCTGAGTCGACCTAGGAGGCGGCCCGGGAGCGGTCCAGATTATTCGCCGCCACCGTTATCGGTCGTGAGCGGGAGTCGAACTCCCCGGGTCGCCGAGTGTGCAACGCGGTGCTCAAACCACTGCGCCACCGCTCCTTCACACACACACACATATATACAAAGACAAAGATCCCCCGTATAGCCTTATCAAACTGTAGGGGCAAGTGCTGTTAGCGAGCACCTATGAAGGCCGGAACGGTACACGAGGAGGTGGGTGGCCAGCACCACGCCCAACCGCCTTTGTCTCCCCAGTGGCGATGTTTACACACCACACCAGGTACTCATTTCACACTCACACATAGATATATACACACACACACTCACACACACAGCCATACACACGTTCACCTTGACAACGTTTTTAAATCAACGCGCGGCAGTTTTAATTGGCACGAATCCTCGCCAATCGGCGTGCCTTGACGCATCCCCATGCGCGAGTCTTCGTCACGTGCTCTCTATAACGCGCCGTGACAGCGGTGCCGGAGACGACCGCATCGGGGGGGGGGGAGTGTCCCATCAACGTGCCCCTTCGAGCCTCTTCCTCCCCCGGTGGAGCTGAGGATGCGACCCGCGACTGCGCTACGCGAGCTGAGTTCAGTACAACAGCACCCGGGATCGAACCGGGGCGGACGGAGGTGTAGGGGGAGGGGGGACGGGCGGCGTGAGCGGCCTCGCCTTTCACGGCTGTCGCCAATCACGAGACGAGGAGTCTCTCAAGACGGCTGTCGTCAGAGAAGACGGGACATTGACGGGACCGTTCGGCGTCCGTGTATATATCCTGCGAGCGTCGTCCAAACAGCTCGGCGCGTTCGTCAACAACAACAGTTGTGTGACCTTAAGGGGAAGAAAGATAACTGTTAGATAAGCGACGTTTCTGGCCAATGGCCCTAATTCTTCATGGCCGCCAAAATATAGTAGATGTCAGCACAGTGGAGAGGCAGAGTTGATATTAAGGTCTGCAGTTGGAAGGGCCACATTTGATGTAACTACCCCAATCGCCGCCAAAGATATATTTGTTTTCCTTTAAAGGCCGCACACGGTGTTATTGACGGACGTGTTGAGTGGTGTTGTTGTTTGTGCCCTAATGCCAACGCGGTAGTGTGGTACCATTCGTTGTGGTCCCGGCAACACGGCAGCGAGATGTTAACTACCTCGCCTGGTATACAGCAGGACATGAGTTCAAACCCGACCCTGACAGCTGCTGTATATTTTGAGTTTGCATGTTCTCCCCGTGGTCGTGTGGATTTTTCTCCAGGTCCTCTGGATTTTCCCCTTCTTATTTAGAATAAACATCACGCGTTTTAAGTATTTGGCTCCTATAAATGTCCACGTGATAAGCCAGTTCATTAAGATATCAGTTGTGGCCAGATCGCTTGTGACAGGGAGCTACATAGCTCAGGGGGCCTTATGTGGTCAAATGAAAAGCGGTTTCTTTTTTAGCAGATTAGTTGCTTGGGCCGCAGCAAGAATTGAATTCTCAGTGAGTACATTCCGAGCCGCTGGTTTTAGACGGGGAAGGTGGCACCGTGACGAGCAGCCACATCCATAGCGATAGGGTTACTGAACGTGGTGTGCCGGCTGAAATTAAACCCTTGTCGCTCGCCATCGTCTGCAGACGCGTACGAGGATGTGCGTGGTGGGATCATCGTTGCCAGCAGCCGCCAGTCGCCACTAAGTGGCGGTGATGTGAAAGGCTCACTGGCAGGAGGTCCCGAGACAGACCCAAGTGCAATGGATTGACTGACTGAGATGACTGGCAGATGCACCACGTGTGCTCCCCAACAGCGCTACCTCGATGTGTTTTAACCGCCCGGCGCTCCGCTAGTTGTTGTGAGCGTCGTTATGAGCCACACACAAACACACACGCGCATGTTCAATGAGTGCCCGGAGCGATTTAGCCCGTGAGTTGTGCGGAGTGGTTATGAACACGAGATTATCATCCGTTGCGTAGCCGATAGCGCTTCATGATAATGCTGACGACGATGATGAACGTGATGATGATGTTCATGTTGCGGATGATGATGATGATGATGACGATGATTACGATGCTAGTTGCCGTTTACAATCTGCATTTTAAGAGCGTCTCAATGCGATCGTTTCTCAAAATGATGGCGATGGCGACTCTAGTCCTGCTGCTGATGATGATGATGTAGATGATGATGATGTAGATGATGATGATGTAGATGATGATGCTGATGTTGTTTCTACTGATGCTATAGCAACCGTCGCTATTTCCGCTGATGCTTCCGCTATTAATACGGCAGCTGCCACTGCTGCTGGAGTCGCTGCCACTGCTGCTGCTGATGATGATGACGATGACGTCGATTAATTCTGCTGCTACTGTTGCCGCTTCAGACCCTGCTGCCGCTGCTACTGTCATTGGTCGTCATGACGATTATTGATGACGCTGATTGTGCTGCTGCTGCTCTTCATTATGATGATGATGATGATGGTGATCATTTTTTTTTATTTTTGAAATCACGTTCCCACGCTCGATGACGACGAGACAGGAATTGAAGCATCCAACGCCACACGATGCGTCAGGGCGCTCCGTGGCAAGGGGCAGAGTGGGTCGGGCTGACCCGCAGACCAAGGGCGCCCCCCACCCCGCCCCCTCCCCCCTCCCCGAAGGAGCCCCCCGGCACGAAGGAGCGGGAGGTGCGAGATGAGATAACCGGGCCGCCAGGAGTAGCGACCGTTGCATCAACTTTTGGTGGGGTCGGTGTCGGCGCTGCAGCAGCAGGCGATGGTGGTGGTGGGGGTTGGTGGTGGTGGTGGTGGTAGCTGGGGTTGGTGATGTTGCTGGTCGGTAGTCGAGGTCGGTTGGGTAACCTCGCAAGTGTCTTAGCCGCGGCTCCGGCTCAGAGGCTGTCGGTGTCGCTGTCGCTTTCTCTGACCGCGGCCGCCTTCGTCGCCGCGACCGCGTCCAGCAGCGTCGCCTCTGGGCCCTCGCCACTCGCCCGCTGCTGCTGCAGCGGCAGCGGTGGTGGCGGCGGCGGCGGCGGCGGCGGTTCAGCGGAAGACGCTGAGGACGCGCGCTTTTGCCTCCTCCACTTGGCGCGCCGGTTCTTGAACCACACCTGCCCGCCGTCAGAATGAGAATGTATTTTTTGTTTTAAAAAAAATAACAAGAATAATGATGATAATTTACTTAAACACGACCGGTATCATCCATAATACAGGGGTGTTTTTTTTTTATTTGGGTTAAATCGCGTCAATATAAATGTGTCACCTGAAGACGGTTTGCTTGTGTTGCGATCGAAACGTCGCGATCGATTGTTATTTCTACCCACGTGTCTTTACCGAAAGAACCAAAGAGTATGGATTCCTGCGGTCACGAAAGCTTCAAATTAAGATAAATGCGTCGTTAAACCCGCCACCACCCGACACAGCCAATGAGTAAGGTTTGTCACGTAAACAGAACGTGCCAATTCCTTACGAGTACAGCACACCGGTGTGTTGGAGAGTAAATCCGCAACATTTACAATCTGTCGACAGCTGATTGCCGCCTGATGATGCTAGATGTAATTGCTGGCGAAACGTCGTACTCAGATTGTAAATGTTGTGGATTTACTCTCCAACACACCGGTGTGCTGTACTAGTAAGGAATTTGCATGTTCTGTTTACGTGACAAACCTTGTAAAATGGCTGTGTCAGGTGGTGGCGGGTTTAACGACACATTCATCTTGATTTGAAGCTTTCGTGACTGCAGGAATCCATACTCTTTGGTTCTTTGGGTAAAGTCACGTAGGTCGAAATAACACTAGATCGCGACGTTTCGATCGCAACACAAGCAACCGTCTTCAGGTGACACATTCACGTGATCTAACCCCCCCCCCCGCCCAAAAAAAAACCTGTATTATGAATAATGTACTGTTTAGGTTATCCAGGAGAGACGCATTGATTCGTAGAGGCTCCTGCCGCTGCTAAATTGGGTTAAAATTTGAAGATGTTTTCAGCCAATGAATGATGAGTTTTTGATGATAATTAGCATTTATATTATTTAATGTATGGAAGGAAAGCGGAACATCAGTGGGGGGGGGGGGGGGGGGGAGGGGGGGCCCCAACACCCCCTGCGCGAGGGCGACAGCACCCTATCCCCGTACAGATGGAAACAGAATTGTGATTAGTTCACTTGCCGTGCCGCCTTCACTTGGCGAGCCAAGGGGGGGGGGCATGGGACCTCAGCGACGGCCACCCACGGGGACGGGAGATTCACAACACCTGCGTGTGACCCACCAACCCCCCCGCACACTGCTGCCACGTGCATCATAGCCGCTGACCCCCGCCCCCCCCACCTCCCTTCTCCCCTCCGTCGTGTCCGGCCGAGATGGAAACGCATCGCTCGTGCGCCGCAACTTCGCGAATCTTTTTTTCCGTCGTCGTCAGCCTGTGCGTAATTGTGTGCCGTGCACCCTCCGCCACCCAGTAGACTAACGAGCGTGAGGGCACGGGGTGCCTTGCCCCCCCCCCCCACCTCCACCCCGACCCCCCCGGGTGACCAAAGCTACGAGTTTGGGCCCTCCTTGACAACCACCATTCGACGGAGCTTTCGTGACTGCAGTTTGCGAAGGCGGAGCGCCCCATACAGCGTTCAATGTTCGAGACCGTGAGCGCCATGCCGTGATTAGGCAAGGGGAGCCGCGATATAAAAAAAAAAGCCTCGGTGCAGCCGTGCGAGACAAATCAAATATCATTGGGGCCCCCAACCCGAGCTGATAACGTCGTCACTACAACACTGCCTGCACCCGACGCAGCCTACTCATAAAGTTGACACGTGAACAACAAAACACGACGCGATGCATTATTATTATTATTGATATGATTACAACTCCTGCTGCTGCTGCTGTTGCGCCTGCTCCTCCTGCAGCTGCTCCTGCTGCTGTTGCTTCAGCAAAGCGGAAGGTCGCGGAGAATATTATATTTTTTTAAATATCGGTTTCGCGTCGCATCGCTCGCGTCTCCAACTCGCCCCGCACCTCGACTCGCTCCTCACGCAGGTGCACGCGCCTCGCGAGCTGCTCGCGCAGGTTCACGTCGGGGTACTGCGTCTGCTGGAAGAGCTCCTCGAGGGCGCCCAGCTGCTCGCCCGTGAAGATGGTTCGGTGGCGTCGCTTGCGCCGATGCAGCTGCCCCAGGAGGGTGAGCTCCAGGCGCGAGAGGGTCTCCACGTCCAGGTGGCACCCGGGCAGGACGGTGGAGGAGCCCACGGGGCACAGAGATCCCGCCGAGGAGAAGCCTGGGACGCAAGTTCGCCGGGGGGCGGGGGGTGGGGAGGGAGGAAGGGGGGGGGGGGGTGCAAGCGACGCAATTTGACGGAGTGAAGTGTGACTCGCGGTGTTTGCAGTTTTTTTCGAATTCCGTAACAAACAAAAAAAACTTCGCAATATCTCAAGAACCGCAATGCATTGCGCGGTGAACGCGAGAGACGGTGGCGGTCCTTAATAAATAACGAACCACGCAGCGGTTCCTTCAAGAACCACGAAGCGGTTCCTTCAAGAGTCACCAAGCGGTTCCTTCAAGAACCACGAAGCGGTTCCTTCACGAGTCACGAAGCGGTTCCTTCAAGAACCACGAGGCGGTTCCTTCAAGAACCACGAGGCGGTTCCTACAAGAGCCACGAAGCGGTTCCTACAAGAACAACGAAGCGGTTCCTTCAAGAGTCACGAAGCGGTTCCTTCAAGAACCACGAAGCGGTTCCTTCAAGAACCACGAGGCGGTTCCTTCAAGAGCCACGAAGCGGTTCCTTCAAGAACCACGAAGCGTTTCCTTCAAAAACCACGAAGCGGTTCCTTCAAGAACCACGAAGCGGATCCTTCAAGAACCACGAAGCGGTTCCTTCAAGAACCACGAAGCGGTTCCTTCAAGAATCACGAAGCGGTTCCTTCACGAGTCACGAGGCGGTTCCTTCAAGAGTCACGAGGCGGTTCCTTCAAGAGTCACGAAGCGGTTCCTTCAAGAGCCACGAAGCGGTTCCTTCAAGAACCACGAAGCGGTTCCTTCAAGAACCACGAGGCGGTTCCTTCAAGAGTCACGAGGCGGTTCCTTCAAGAACCACGAAGCGGTTCCTTCAAGAACCACGAAGCGGTTCCTTCAAGAGCCACGAAGCGGTTCCTTCAAGAACCACGAAGCGGTTCCTTCAAGAGTCACGAAGCGGTTCCTTCAAGAACCACGAAGCGGTTCCTTCAAGAACCACGAGGCGGTTCCTTCAAGAGCCACGAAGCGGTTCCTTCAAGAACCACGAAGCGGTTCCTTCAAAAACCACGAAGCGGTTCCTTCAAGAACCACGAAGCGGTTCCTTCAAGAGTCACGAGGCGGTTCCTTCAAGAACCACGAAGCGGTTCCTTCAAGAGTCACGAAGCGGTTCCTTCAAGAACCACGAAGCGGTTCCTTCAAGAACCACGAAGCGGTTCCTTCAAGAACCACGAAGCGGTTCCTCCAAGAGCCGCCTGTGGTTCCGGAGCCGCAGGTTGTCGCCCCCCCTGCCCTCGCCGATGTCTCCAGAGCCGCGAAACTCGCGGCGACCCTGAGTTCGATTCACCGGCCAGGGCGATACATCAGTGGCGAGCGATATAAAAACCAGGGAGCCCCATGCTGACCAGCGTGGTTGAAGCGTAGTCACGCAAACCCCCCTCTGTGACCGACACGGCGGCACGAGGAAGCCTTCATCCAGCAGCGGAGCGGATTGACAATGGTGCTGTAAATAAAGTGCAGTGCCTGTTGCACACCTGTCAACCCCTTATCAGTGCCCTACCTTATCACAGACCAATTCAGACCTTATTGGTCACCCCGTGCCCCTTATAGATCTCAGCGGTTATCCTACAAAGTCCCATCGCAAGGGAGAATCACAAAAAAGTACAGAATAAAAAATTGCCCGTGTTGAAACGGCTGTACGCCGTATGGATCTGAAAACTCAACTTTCCTGTACAAGAATACGGCTAAACCGCATGGGTTGATAGGTATGCTGTTGTTTATTTATGTTTTCTATTCAAGATAATCTTACGGGAGTCTCAAGACTTGTGTTTTTAGGAAGGTCGTTGCAAGCATTCTGACATTTGACGACTTGAGTCTCCACTCCTTCCCGTGCCTCCACTTAACCCCTTTGTGACCCCCCCCCCCCGAACCAGCCCCTCTCTCGCTGTTACTCAGTCCTCAAAACCTTCCCAGCACGCCTCATGCCACGTCAATCGTCCCATTGTTCCGTGGCACCGTCTTTGTAAGCTTAAGGTCAAGCGCCTTCCGTGGAGGTGCTCATTGCCAAAAATAAAAGTAGAACTCATATTCGATTTAGGAAGAGTGGCAGTAGGTGGCGCTCAGTGGACTCGGCCTGGAGGAGATGGGGGAGGTGATGGGGGAGGTGATGGGGGAGGTGATGGGGGAGGTTTATGGGGGAGATGATGGGGGAGGTTGATGGGGGAGGTGATGGGGGAGGTGATGGGGGAGGTGATGGGGGAGGTTTATGGGGGAGATGATGGGGGAGGTTGATGGGGGAGGAGATGGGGGAGGTGATGGGGGAGGTGATGGGGGAGGTTGATGGGGGAGGTAATGGGGGAGGTTGATGGGGGAGGTGATGGGGGAGGTTGATGGGGGAGGTGATGGGGGAGGTGATGGGGGAGGTGATGGGGGAGGTTGATGGGGGAGGTGATGGGGGAGGTTGGTGGGGGAGGTGATGGGGGAGTTGATGGGGGAGGTGATGGGGGAGGTTGATGGGGGAAGTGATGGGGGAGGTTGATGGGGGAGGTGATGGGGGAGGTGATGGGGGAGGTTGATGGGGGAAGTGATGGGGGAGGTGATGGGGGAGGTGATGGGGGAGGTGATGGGGGAGGTTGATGGGGGAGGTGATGGGGGAGGTGATGGGGGAGGAGGAGGTGATGGGGGAGGTTGATGGGGGAAGTGATGGGGGAGGTTGATGGGGGAGGTGATGGGGGAGGTGATGGGGGAGGTGATGGGGGAAGTTGATGGGGGAGGTGATGGGGGAGGTTGATGGGGGAGGTGATGGGGGAGGTGATGGGGGAGGAGGAGGTGTTGATAATTTAACGCGCAGCTTTCCGCAGCGCTCCAATTTCTCTTTGTTTTCTCTCCAAAATATTTTATTAACGAAACGATATCAGGCACACACCACAGAGGATATGGCATGGGGTTTGACAGCAGCACAAACAGCACATTACGGAATTACGGTGCTATTGGAAACCGGTCTATACCGCATGTTTCAATAAACTGTTTCAATAAACTGTTTCAATAAACTTTGCAAGTCCTGGTGCCTTCCTAAGCTCCGATACCCTTAGAGCAGGGGTAGGGAACCTTTTTTCTGCCAAGGGCCATTTGGAAATTTATATAACATCATTCGCTGGCCATACAAAATTATCAACTTATAAAATGAGCCTGTTTTCGCGGGTCTTGTACGGCCCGCGGGCAGGACGTTCCCCACCCCTGCGCCCTACAGGAAGAAACGGGAGGCGGGTGGGGGAGTGTCTGAATGCCCTCATGAATGCTCTTAAGAATCAATGCCCACTGTAGGCGAGGTAGTGAAGGGGGTTATCCACGTTTGGTGGTAAGCTTCCTCCATACCCCTTAGTTTTACACTCGAGATGCTCACAGCGCTCCGATATCAACATCGCTCATTTCAACATTGCACGTGGAAAATGCATCACAGTGCTCCCGCTGTGAACAGAAGCGAGTCATGCACTGAACGTTTGCCAACAAAACAATAACACCGTGGCCTTAAAATAATAAAAATATATGACAGGCGACGCTTCGGGTAATGACCCTTTTTCATAGCACATAAATGACCACCACAGCCACACCATCACTCCTATTAACGTGCCATTAAGAAAGATCGTTGCCCGAAACGTCGCCTGTTATATATTTGTTCTCTTTCGACCCACAGTGTTCTTGACGATTGTGTCGAGCTCGTTGCTGCTGTTCTGCATGGTACTTGTGCACCACTGCCAACGCAGCAGCAGCATCGGAACATTAATTAGTTTTTTGTTGTTGTACTTTCACGAAGAGGACTTTCGAACAGTCTGAATGTGCACCGCACATGTATATACTCGTATATGCCTCTACATATACAGGGTGCTTCAAAAAAATATTTAACACGTCTGAGAATTTGCAACAACACCACACGAGAAATGTGCCTCCGGGCTCTGGAAACCACCAGGAGAAGATTCCAAGCCACGGTACCCCAATTGGGTTCTCCCTTATCTACAGTTGTAGCCAATGTTTTCATGGAAAATGTTGAGACAGGTGCCATCAAGGCATCCACTCTACGTCCGTTCTTGTGGAAGAGGTTTCGTAGATGACACGTTCGTAATCTGGCCACATGGCCGACCAGCTCTGAACCAATTCCTCAACCACATAAATTCCATACACCCAGCCATCAAATTCACCATGGAGGTGGAAAAGGATGGCAAGTTACCATTCTTGGATGTTTAAATCGAAAAGAGACCGGATGGCTCAATGGGACACTGTCTACAGGAAAGCCACCCATACGGATGCCTACCTAAAATCTCACTCCCACCACCATCCATCCCAGAAGAATTCCCTCATCAAAACTCTACACCATAGAGCTCGATGTATTTCCGACCGTCATCACCTAGCCAGTGAACTGGAACACGTACACCAAGCTCTCAAGATGAATGGATATTAAGACCACACAATCCGTAAAGCTATCACCCCAACCGTTGGGAAAGAACCATCTGAGGAACCAATCAAAACCATAACCTTGCCATACATAGCAGGGATCACTAAAAAGATTTCCAAAATCATGAGCTAACACAAGATCCAGGTTCGATTTAACACAGTACATAAAATTCGTGACCTGATCCCATCTGTGAAGGACACGATTCCTAACATGCAATACCCCGGCGTCTACAAACCAAGCTGTGTCTGCGACAGCAGTTACATTGTGGAAACTAAGCGACATGTCTCGGACCGTGTTCGTGAACATAAGGCAGATCTGAAACACGGTAGCACCAATACCTCGGCTGTTGCTGATCATTGTTTTAATGCGGTGTGCTCACACGAAATTGATTTCTCTAAGACGAAGGTACTTTGCAAGCCCACTGGCTATCAACAAAGATTCGTTCATGAAGCCATCCATATATATATAGACACAGACACAATTTCAACGGAGAAGATGAGTACAAACTGAGCAATCATTGGAAGGACGTTATCAACCAGTTGAAGTCATAACTGGCTATGATTTTGCCATCCTACCACCTTCCGATGTTAGTTGTG